GGCAATGAAGGCATGATGCTTTACTCTAATATTTTCCCCCCACAAAGTACATCATATAGAAAAGGAGAGTAGGAACACAAACAGAAAAGGATTTATAAAGAGTTTCTTTTGTTTGAGGGAGAAGCCAAGATTATTTAAGTCCTAGGAGTCTAGAGATAAAAGAGTCCCTGACTTTACGGAGATGCAGTATCTGTGTTGATGTAAACTAGGTCAGGCGTGCTCCCCGTTGAAGGCTTGCCACCTCCCAGCAGCCCAACCACCGATTGTACTTCAGCCCCTTTGCAGAGTCGCTCAGCAGTCGTGTGATTAGCAAATTTAAACCTTCCTCACAAATCATTTAGAGACTCTGCTGTGCACATTACCATCTAACGTTCCTGAAACCCAACTCCAAATTTAGAGTCCATTTTATTATTAGAATGTTATAAACTGTCCGTGAAATGATGCACAGTCGAAATACAGACACCAAAGTTGTTTAGACTTGCATATGTTACTACCACAATGAGGGCCAAGTACCCTGGGGGAAAATTTCTGTCGTCTCGATTTAAGAAATCTATTTGCTGTTTTTACTGTCTCAGCAGTATATGTAAATAAAGGGTTGTTATGGTGCCATAATTCCCAAATGATGGGCAGTAACTATACTTCAGTGGTTCTATAAACCAGCCCATTATGACAAGTCATGGCCAGTTTTTCACCAGGCAAAACAATTCTGCTAGTGTGAGCCATCTACAATATATAAAAGGAGCATATAATTAAACTGGGTTGAAATAGAACACCACTCCATGTCAAATGCTGGGTACACAGCCACAAATTGTAACATACTTTTAACAATGGCAGGACATTGTTTTGGCTGGCAGAGCTGTGGGCTTCCACCATGGATTATCTTTAAAATAATAATCATCATCACTGTATGAGGGAAAGACTAGGGAATCTTGCTTTTCAGTGTGCATTTTAATTTTTTTTTTTTAGTTGCATGAAATCCTTTAGCTACGTATTCAGTGGAAGTATGTTAATTAAATGGCTATGACCCACATGGGAAACAGCAATTTTCTCTATTTTTAAATCTCTTCATGTAACCAAAATTTCAGCACTGATGACCCACTTGCCATATACTTTTTATATAACCTAGAGAATGTGTCTTGCCCTCCCTGGGGCCCCAGCCTGGCCTATAGAGCACATTCTCCCATCTACCTCTTTGTCTCCCTGTTCCCTGCTTCCTTCTGTGATTGGGCATTGGATCAGGATTCTACAACAGGTATGCTTTCTTCCAGGGTGAAACAGCCTCCTGTCCAAGTTTTTCTTCTGTCTTTGGGGGGGTTATGTTTTCCTAAAATGAGGATGTATCTTTCCTCACCTTCGTCTACACAGTTCCCTTCTCACAGGCCTGCCACCTCTTTTCCGTTGAGGGAGCCTTGCAGCCCACACCAAGGCTACTCCTGAGCCTAGCCATGGGTTCTGATCTTAGTAGACACCCAGACATGATTCCACATGGGGGAGTTTGGGACTCTCATCCACAACAGTACTTGCTACTCACTAGGAGATCCAAGAAATCCAGGACATCTATTGCTTTCTTGGGGAACCAAGGGCAAAAGATTCCTCTTCTGATGTGTGAGGAGGTATCTGCCTCTTCTTGGCCATAGGGGTGAAGCCTTGGCTTCTAAGGAAAGCAGAAAGTGAACCCATTTTCTTGTTCCTATTATCTGTTTATATCATTATCAACAGTGGAATTTTTGCTAGGTTTTTTATCCTATCTGCAAATTCTTTAAATTGGTGCCAAGTAGGGGAGAGGAAAAAGGCAAGAATAGAATTAAAATTTGGCCTTTACTTTGTATCTGTGAAACTATGTAGCTAATTATAAGGTTACTTAAAAGAAAAATCCTCTGAGTTGTCAGTTATAGGTTAGAAAGAACAGTAAAATGGAGTCTTTAATGAAAGTATTTATGCCTTCAAGAATTCCCTCTGGCTGCCAGGGAAGTCTAATCACAGGAAGAGACAGTGTTGCACCCCCAAATCAGACTAGGATGCGTGAAGTCTTCCAAGAAGACATTTGGGATAGAGATAGTAGAGTGGGGAGCTTGAAATCAGACTCCTGCACATGAAACTGATGATAACAAAAGTTAATTGTTTGAACATTTTCTGTTGTTTGGACCCTGTACTATCTGTTGCTCTAAAATTTCAGGATACATATTTGAGCATAAAGCATCCTCTTGACCACTGAAGAACTCTGGAATATTGGTCATTGGTTCTCATGGTAGCAAACTCCCCTCTCAAACAGTGGCTATCCTACTACAATCAGAATTGTTAAAGCCGTCAACACACATCAAGAAGCATTTCTCTTTCAGGGATGCAGGATTCTGCCTCAGCCACCTCTGAGCCCAATCAAAACCCTTGGTGTGAAAGTCAAGGAAGCCAAGACTACTAGCTTGGAATGACATGGTCAGCAGGTTTGATCAGTATTATAAGTCTTGCTGTCCCAGGAACAGGCCATAGGAATCTCAGGGGATTCAGATCCCAGAACACTGACTTGTAATAAGAGTATAAATATGACTCTATAAACCAACCACAGAGAGAAGGCTCTCAGTACAGCCTTAAAATTATATGTATTTCATAAACATGAAATGGAAATAGCAACCACTGTGGAGAAGCAATGGCTAGGTCCCATTGTGATCCCTGTATTTCCAGATGCAGTGGGCAGGAATCAGCCCAATGTCTGAATAATACCAGCACCCACATTCTGAGTAAGGAGTACTCAGTCCTCCATGCCTTATCATGCTTAGTTCAAGCCCATTAATGGAAAACACATTTGAAGCCAGCCAGTCACCATGCCACAAATAGTCACTCAGACAGCACTACATAAAACTAGAAGCCTAACTCCTGAAATGGAAACTTGAGGAAATTCAAGAGCTGCTGCTTCTCAGACTCTTACTATGTGCTTGGTACTGTGGTAAGTGCTTCCCTTGAAAGTACTTATGCCCTGGAACATTTAATTCTCACCACAATACTTTGAGGTCAATACTATTCCTCTTTCCCTTCCTACCCACCCTCATTTTACAGATTAAAAAAAAAAATAGGCCAGAGAGGCAAAGTCCATAGCCTGCCATCACATAGCTAGTAAAGTGGTGAAAGCACACTGGCTGGCTGCAGTGGCTCACAGCTGTAATCCCAGAGATCCGGGAGGCCGATTCAAGGTTATAGTGAGCTATGATCATACTACTGCACTCCAGCCTGAACGACGGGGCACCACCTTTTCTCTAAGCAAAAAACAAAAACTAGTTTCTCAAAACAATACATAATGGAGTTGGTTTATATTTTTTTCCTTGAAAATGCAATGGTTTAAAAAAAATAAAATAAAATACCTTTTAAAAAGTGGGGAAGATGGGATTTTATCCAGGTTTGTGGACTCCTTCCCCATCAGCCTATACTCTTAACCCTTGCTACTAAAGTGTGTTCCAGAGACCAACAGCATTGGCCTCATGGGGAATGTTGGAAAGGCAGCATCTCAGATCCTGCCCCTCATCCACAGAATCTGAATCTGTATTTTAACAAGATCCCTGGGTGATATAATGATTTATCTCCCTGTCTCTGAACTGCCCTGATTCCTGGGGAAACTGACTTTGTTTTTTATACTGTGTATAGTGGTTCTCAAACTCTGAGATGCATCAGCATCACCTAAGGACCTCGTTAAAATGAGACCTTATTATAGAAGACTCTTAATTGCTAATGAAAAGTGAGAATCTATTTACTTGCCTCCAGTATTTGCTGTCTACATCAGGAACTTTCTGCTAGGTCACTGAATCCTATTTGCAAACTTCTGAACTGTGCTACCAGGAAAATTTATCAGTGGAAATTTCAGGGGAAACTAACATACAGAATCTGAATTGACAAGAGTAGAATTCAGGCATCTGTTTTTAACAAGCCTCCAAGGAGTTTCTCTGCACATCCATTGCTTAAGAACCACTGACATTTGGGAATCCTGAAAACTCTATTTGAAGAAATGCAAGTCAGTGGATTCCAGGAGAGGTAAACAGACATAGGATATTCAGGAATTGAGAGCCAGATGCATAGCCTGCACTTTAAAAAAAATTGGTAGAAAGGTAGAGTTTTGTACCCTAGTCACAAGATTGGGGTTACTCTGAGCTCCCTTCAAAGGTAAGAGTAATAGTGTCTGCCACTCCCTCTAAGCAATTGTGAGTATTCAGCCTGTCAAGTCGCATGAAACAACTAGTTCTTGGATGTTGCAAATACTTTGCTTAAAAGTTTTCAGTAACACTTTGTTGCTACTTTGAATCATGTTTTTCTGAGTACTTTGTGTCCCTAACTTGCAAGAACCTAGATAAATTTAGTCCATCAGACTTTAATGAAGTGCCTGCTTGGCGCTGAGCTCTGTGTTGAATTCTGGGTCTTACTGCTTTCTGTGTGACCAGTGGATGCCACTGATGTGGCCTCCCTCTCCTCATAGCTGCTTTAAGAGAATTAAACAGGGTTCCCATACATACTCCACCCACTGGAAGGGAGATGTCAAACTCCCAGTAAATATGCTGTGGTCATAATTTGGCTGAGCTTTTCGGCTCAAGGAAAAAAGCTTTCCTGGGTGAGTATCTTCTAAATACTGACTAAATCTTATATTTTTTGTACCCTGGAAAAACTTCATGGTGACAGCATTAGTAATTATAAACACTAATAGAAAAGCTCAAACCCTAAAGTAGGTTCTGTGCAGATACATACCAGAAGGTGAGAATTTACTGTGTGGCTAATGTTAACACATTTAAAGTTTCCAGGTATATTGGGCTTGGCCCAATACACAATATATATATGAGCCAGCTTTCCTAGGGAAAAAGTCTCACCTTCAAATTTTTTTTATTTTACAAGGCCTAAAGGTGTTGAATGTACCCTGCTTGGTGAAAGACAGAAGTCAGAATAACTAAAAGTTGAAATGGCAAAGTAATTTCACCTGCCGCGGAGCTCATTGTCACTCGTCGTTAGCATCTCACATGATAACTTACCCACCAGTTTTCTCATAATTGAGATTCACATGGACTAGAGGTTTGGATGTTTCCCAGTCTTCAGCCTGAAAGTAGAATTTAAAAACTCCCATGATTTCCAGTTGTTTGGTTTATGTGCAATACAGAGAGGAAGCTGATTTCAGGATCTATAGTAATTACAATAATTACAACAATAAAGCACCTAATGTGTGCTGCATTGTGGTTTGTGAATCCAGGAACCTTATTATTCCCAATGAAATGAGTATTAGTATCATTTATCAGATAAAATAAGGAAGTTCCTAGAGGTCAAGCCATGGTCACTCCCAGCTGGTGGGTCACAGCCAGAACCTAAACTTGTACCCAGGCCTCCCACCATATCACAGCCGCCTCCCCAAGTCATGTAAATGAAATCTAATTCAGCAAGCATAGTGGTTGGTGCTGACTTTAGATCCCAAGTGCTAGTTACACATTTGTCATTATTTCTATCTTTGTACAGCAGGCAGATGTTCCCTTATCAAGGCAGCCAAACCTGATTAGAATGATGTTCACCTACACTGGCAAGCAGGGTAGAAAGTTCAAACCATAACCTGGATGAATCAGGTTGGAAAATGACTAAGTCCAAAGAGTAAGACAGGAAGTATCCTGATGATTTGTCTACACAGCCCAAATTAATGCTATAATTGCTTATACCACTTCTGTTTTTGCATTTAATAGGTTTTGCAATGCTTTTCTTTGATCAAGGAAAGGAGGATTCATTTTAACTTTGTCTGGGCGCAGATTTCAAAACCATCTGTATCTGCTATAACTAGAAGGATTGTAAACAGAAACACAGCTTTGAGGCAAGGCTTAAAAATACACTTCTCATTTTGCCACGATTTGAGGGGAAAGAAGCTCTGACTTTTTGGTACATGTATCTCCACATTAGTAGGACCATTTCCTTTCTAAAATCTAAGAACTGGCATACAGTGCATCTGCCACTCATTGACAGTGTAACCTTGCGAAGCCCATCTTATTGAAGTTTCAGTTTCCTCTCTTATAACTATGAAAACAAAACTTATGGCATAGGGTTATTCTAAGAATTAAATGAGATAGAATACACAGAAAGTCTTTAGAATTTTTCCCACCATGTAAGCTATTCTTGTTATTTCCTTATTTGATATTCTCCCTTCTGAACAAGGAAAAAAATCAATTTAAGAATACATTGAGATTAACCATTGATATTTTTCTTTCCCATACACAAAAATGTTACATATTTGTGATCAAAAAATGCCTAGATCTCTCTTAGAATATCATTCCCTTTGTGTTTTATAGCAACATACAGTAACGCTTGGGAAGAACAGAAACTTTTTATTCTATTATCTGTACTATTTAATGTTGATTTGGTTCCCAGGAGTGTCTGGATTGTCCATCTCACTGTATCTTATGTGCCTCCTGGAAACTGATGTCAAGTAACACAAGCTCTTCTTTCTTATCCCTAAGAAGTAATGAGCTCCAGCTCAGTGACAAGTTCTAATACCAATACAGTAACGTATAAAGATTTGAGAATCATAAAGCCTAGAGTCCAGTTTAAACTCAGTCTCTTACTAGTATATGACCTTGAACAAACAGCTTAACCTCTCCAGCACCCCATGGAGTTGGGATGTTAATGAGGCCTCTTCTCTTTCCTTCCTAGTATCATTATGTTCCTTCATAGAGTTACTGAACGTGATTTTAAAACACTAAAGCATTAGATTAGTTAATAACATTATGGCTACTAGTGAGTGATACTAATTATTGATATTTTTAAAATTATGAATAATACAGCTCGTACCAGGATAATGAAACTAAATATTTTGTGCGAATAGGTGAATTTTCATAAACAAGTCATTTCACCAAGGCTCAAAAATAGAAATCACTCTTTTTTCATTAAAGAAAGTAATTGACTACTTTTTTAAAATTCCAAGGTTTTTCCCTCTTATTGTGTTTATATAAAACTCCTCCAAATTTAAATTTCTAAAAGCAAGATTTCTTCCAAAGGACTTCCGCCTCCTTTGCCCCATGGGTTTGCAATCATAAGATTGCTGCTGTTTTTGATAAACAGAGAGGCTAATGAAGTGTGGCTGTTAGAAATACAGGTCAGGACAATACTGAACAGTTCAGGACAATACTGAACTGAACCCAGCCAGACTGCCTGGGTTCAAATCCACACCAACTTTGTGACCATGACAAAGCAACCAACTTCTCCGTACTTGGGTTGCCTCTTCTACAGCATGCTTCTAAATGGAGCTTTTCTTTGTATCCCCACTGCCTGCCATAGTCCCTATTCTAAGGGTGTGCTGGTAAACCAGTTCTGATTTGTAGTATTTGCTGATGACTGTGGTGTAATTATTTCCACCATGGCTGATGTCAGGCTACACGTGGTTCAATGACTGACCTGCCACATTCCTGAATATTTAACAGTCACCTCTTGGTGACTGGCATCAGCCACACCACCCTCTGACTTAGACATTCAATCAATATGGATATGTCAGTCAAGCTGGCTGTTGCATCAAGTAGTGCTAGATAGTCCACAAATAATGATGAAAATGACAAGATTCAGAAGGAAACGTGTGTGAGTGAAATTGAGACACTACTTCTAGAGCACTTTTTAAATTTTGATTTTCCAAGGCAGAGACATCAAATTGCTTCTCTGACATCAGATCAAAAATCAGTCTTATGACCTGAGTTAGAATCCAGTTTCCATGATAGTGATTTAAATGTCCCTTAGATCTACACAGCCCCTCCTTGACTCTCCCCTGTCCCCAGGTGCTTCTGATACAGTTTTATCTAAGAAATTGTCAGAGGGTTGCCAAAGAGGAGCTGGAGAGGGAGTTTTCACCGAGTTTACCTACCTTGCCTTGGACTCCCCCCATTCCTAACTTGCCCCCTCATTATTGATGTGCTTTTCTGAGTCCTGTACTGTGGTTGTCTAAGATTATATTCTAAAAGAGAATCTAATTCCTCCTCACAAGTTACTATTTGTCTAAATCACATGTCATCATGGCCAGTGACTAGCCAGGTGACACAAAGAAGCATTTTTCCCAATCCCAGCTGCATTCAACAATTTTCATTTCCATTAAGGTGAGCAATTTCCCAAAATGAAAAAAAATAACTCCAAGTCAGCATAACTTCAAGCAAGCATATCTCTGAGCCTCAGTCTCTTCCCCACTGTGTTTCTTGGCACCAGGAAGGCTGGGGCTACATAGCTTCCTCCACTTGGAAATATATAGCTTTCTCTTGGCTCCCACACCTGCCTCTTGAGGATAAGATTTTCTGTGAACCTATGAACACACACAATCATTCTTCCTTCTGTACATGGAAGTTATCTGTAACAGGGATTCAGCAAAACATCCATGAGAACATATGCCATTTCAAACTACCTTTTCAACTAACGTATCTATAGAGATCAATCTATATAATCCCAACATCAGACACTGACAACTTTGGAAAAGGAGAAGCCCAAGAGCCCTTCAAGTAAGAGTGAGAATGGTTCTTTGCAATGTTTACCAAAGGTCTTCGATATGGGGAAAGGCTTTTTGGCCACTTCAGGGTAAGGGTGGCATCTTGCTGTTACAACCCCACTACTGTATAAGTAGTTATTTTTAAATGAGTCATAAGCCCATAGAAGTGAGGAGAATGGGGAAGTAGACAACACCAACACAAGTTTGGAGGTGGAAGGCAGAGACAGGTGGTAAGGAAGAGAGAAGAGAAGTCCTTAGAGGACCGAATTCCCAAAAACTCGGGGGACTGAATTCCCTAAGACTCAGGAACTGGAAGCACCAGTTACTTCTGAAGGGGAGGAGATGGGGAGAAAAGCTTAAAATTAGAATTACTGAAAGCGGTTTAGAGGCAGTCAGGATTCAATCTGGATTCCCACCTTCCCTCTGCACAGCCAGACAACTCCTTCCCCGACGCTGTGGTGAAGCCTGCAGATGATGTTGAAATGCAGGATCTCAGGGCTGGAGCACACCTGACGCTGTGCTGCACAGGGGTTAAAGTAAATATGGTGTGCTTATTGGATGCTGAGACTCACAACCACCTGTCCTCTGCCACCACCCAGCCTCCCAGTGTTAGAAACCAGGCCATTACCTTCTCTCTGAACAGATAAGATGAGTCTGGGGAAACTGAGCATTCCAAAGCTACTGACTCAGTTTCACAGTTGCTGAGCCCCATTAATGTGCTCAAAGTTTCTCATCACATTTCTAGTTTTCTATTACTAAACTCTTCAATGTGAACTAATAAACAATGGTTACAAGTAAAGAAATCATCTCACTTGGAAGATAGAGAACGTAATAGAGTTCTTCAGAGAAGCAGAACCAATAGATATATACAGATACTCCTGAGTACATCTCAATAAATTCATCTTAAGTTGGAAATACCTTAAGTAAAAAATGTATCTAATACACCTAACCTGAAACACATTTCTACTGAATATATATTCTTTCACACCTTCACAAAAAATCAAAAAATTGTAAGTTGAACAATCGTAAGGCAGAGACCATTTATATATATACATGAGCATGTGCACATACATACATATGGAAAGAAACTAAGCTCAAAGAATTGGCTCATGATCATGTGAGCAGGCTGGCTGGTTGAAAATTCATGTAAGAGTTGATTTTGCAGTCTTGAATTCAAATTCTGCGGAGTAAGCCAGCAGGCTGAAAATTCAGATAAAATTTCTTCTTGTTACAGTCTTGAGGCAGCATTCTTTCTTCATAAGATCTTGAACTGAATGATAAGGCCCACCCAAATTATGGAGAGTAGCATGTTTCATTTAAAGTTAACCGATTATAAATTTTATTATACACAAGTGAGACTGACAGCTACAAACAGAAATAAATTTATAACATCCACAGATACCCAAATACTTTCATAGCAACATCTAGACTAGTATTTGAACAAACATCTGGCTACCCAAGTTGATGCATAAAATTAAATATTACAAGACTAAAACAGAAAAGCAACTTGGAAAAAACTGCAGGGAGAAAACTTCATCAAAGTGTTAATATCCTCAGACAGTTAAGAGAAGATACTGAAACCACAACACAGGAGCAGGATGTTACGT